TTGAAATAAACTGATTTCTGTAATTTACTTTGCAAATGCATCAAATAAAACAAGATGCACCGATGGGTAGAAGGATGGAGGAGTGTGGTAAAGCAAATTTAGTAACATATCAATGTAGAAGAATCTGGATAGTCTGTATGTGGACGTCCGTTATACAATTCTTTCAACTTTTTGAAACTGGGGGAGGTGGGGGAGGCAGAGGAAGGGGGAGGATTTTTTTTATATACCCCGACTGACAGCCATCTGATATTCTTAATGGTATATTTTTTAAGATATTACTTATTTGGGGGGGGGGAGTGAGAGAGCACCAGCAAGTGGGGGAGAGGGAGAAGCAGACTCCCCACCGAGCAAGGAACCCAACCAGGGCTTGATCCCAGGACCCTGAGATCACCACCTGAGCCAAAGGCAGACGCTCTACCGACGGAGCCAGCGAGGCACCCCAGCCGTCTGATATTCTTGGCCCATCTACATATATTTCATTTTTATCTGCGCCGACTACATTTCTATGCACAGATGGTCCACACAATCTATGAAGTGTGCCTATTTTAGAATCAGCGGCCATGGGCTCTGTGTCCACTGACATTCCCTTCCTGCTCACAGACAGCAAACCAAGACTTGAAGGTTCATTTTCCTTCAGTGTAATGGAGGCCTCCATCATAAATGGACGGCCTGAAGCTTCCTGAAGTCTCTCCCACACTTTCTACCAGGATTTTCATTACCATTAGACAGCCTGAACCCATCGAAACAAGAGTTGGAACCTGGTCCTCGCTCCAAAATGCAGGGCCTCTAGGGATGGGGATGAACCCTCACAACCACTACCTCCAAAAGGAAGGACCTGGAAGGCTTACTCACCCTCTCTCAGTGAACTTGGTGCTGGCCGTGGCTCTTGCAGAGCTGACTTGTCGTTATCACAGGAGTGTGTTTACAGAACACATGAGAAGGGCACACATTTGCTTTTCCCTTAATTCTTGGGTCTCCAGCCCCCTAATGGTTCCTCTTTTTACAAATGAGGAAACTGAGGATCAGGGTGTATATGAACTGCTCCTAAGCACACAGTTTGAATTCAACCCCATTTAACCTAGAATTCTGATCCTCACCGCCCCCACTCCCGACACTGCCCTGAAACCACCTCCCAATCCCCACCAGGAAGAAGCCAATTTTACAAATGCCCATCTAGGACAAAACTGGGTGAGGAGCTTTTAAGGCAGCAGCGTTCACACTGCAAGCTGGGAAAAAAACTCAGTGGCTCCTGACCAGCAGCTTCTGAAAATGAACAGAGAGCAATATATCTGACTGTACCACATGCAAGAATAGACATTGGTCCCTGAAACTTGTTTCAGCTGTATATAAATATTTATACATGGGTGTTTCTTGGTGTAAGCATGCAGTCCAGAAAAGTTAGAAAGCCACTGATTTAAAGATTAAGTCCCTCTAGATCAGAGATTTAGATCTGAGATTTAATTTCCCAGATTCAAAAAGAAATGCTGGAAAGGAATGGGCTGAGGAAGGTACTCGTGGAAAAGGCATCACTTGAGCAAAGACCCCTAGCCTTCTGTGGGAGAGACACATAACCACCAGTAGCAGCAAAGAACCCAGGCTAACAACTAACAAAATATAAAATTGAAAGCCTTGACACTGACCATTTTAAATTACATCCCCTCATATTCCCCTCCCCAAGTTCAGTTTCCTTTCTTGATTTTCCAAGAGCAATTCCTATCATTCATCTTGGATATATATTCCAGTTTAGGTCCTAATAAATTTTACGATGTATGTGTGTCCATAAGCAATGCACAGCATTGTTTGAGTGATTTTATGTTACATCCAGCTACTAGGAGGTCCCCGTCCTTCCCCGATGTTTCACACATTGTTTTTTAGATGTATCCATATTAGTATACACACATTTATGTAGCATGCTGCACAGTATCCCTCCACAGGGATAGTCCATAAACAGTTTCCAATATTCTGTCATTATAAGCAACAATGTTATGAACATTCTTGAACATGCCTCCTCCGTTCATAAGGGAATCTGCTCTAGTTACAATATAGCTGGAGGTAGTATTACTGAGTTGCCATATAAATACACCTTCCACTTTACTAGTTATTGCCAACCTCATGTACCAGGAAAACTACTACTAATAGTTCAGTGTGTGTCCTTGAGACTTTATATACCTGTACCTACATATATGTACATGAGTTTACAGAGTATGAATATAGGTAAATCTATCTCGTGCTTTATAATTGGTTGCAGAGGACCATTTTCTGCATGAATTGACCAGTGCCCAACTGATGGACATTAAGGGCTATGCCCCCATCACAGTATTTCAAAGAATTTTTTTGTGCATAAATAAGCAGCACACTGGTTCTAGTACACATGCAAAACAGATTGGGACTCCCAGACCCACCTCTTCATTGTACAAAGGAGAACACACTATGTCCCAGAGAGCTAGGGTGAGGAGCTGGCCCAAGGACCCCAGCAAGGGAGAAATGAAGGGGCTGAGGGCTGGGGTTCCTACACTTGGGGCACTTGCTCTGCTTAAGGGAATAAAGCATTTCAGTACACATTATTCCTTTTACACACCATCCTCAGTTACCCTCTAGGATTTGACATTATAAAGAGGTACTCTGTGTATCACCAAAGTCATGTAAAATCTCCCTGTGTCTGTGTGCAAAGGAGGTCAAGCAAAAATTCTTACCCTGGACCCTTCTGCCCCAGAAGGCTGCAGGAGTCAGCCTCTGGCTTCCACCTCAGTCCAGGCAACTCACATTCACAGAGGCTAAATGCTCCTTGTGGCTCCACCCTGGGACACAGACAGGATCCCAGGACCCCAGCCTGAGGTCACAGAAGAAGACTCAATGACCACATAGCACAGTAATCAGTGCAAACTCTAAGAGGCAAAGGGAGGTGTCCAGGGCTCCAATCTCAGGAAAGCAGTGAGAATGTTAAAAGCTGGCCCCATACCTAGTTCTCAACAAATGTATTCACCTACAGAAGCCAGACATCCAGCCCCACATTTCAAACACTTGCAGCTGCGCTCAGACCATGTGCTCTGGTGCTGAGTGCACAGGCTCACGCGTGCACGCACACACATAATGGATTGGGTGCAGTCTTGATGCCTGACCTTTGGCATATATGCGTTTGAATCCTGACTCAGCCTCTCATTAGCTGTGTGACCTTAGGCAAGAATTTGACCATCCAAGCTTCAAATTCCTCCTCTTAAAAAAAATTTTTTTTTTAAATGTAGATAAAATTGGTACTTCCCTTATGGGGTTTTATGAAAAGTAAATGAGTTACCGCACATAGGTGCTCAGAAAAGCTCTCAGACCATAAAAGTGTAGTAGATACTTGGGGTACTTGCCTGGTGGTGGTGCCTGAAATAAAACAATGTCCCTGGCCTTAAGGAGCTAGTAAATTTATAAGAATGTCAAATAAAAACAATAGAAGCGGGTGTGGCCGCCAGTCAGAGGGAGTGGTAGGTACAGTAAACAGTGCCAATGTGGAGGGGACATGAGGGGTACCCAGGGATCAGAGGCGGCCGCTCACCTCAGGGAACTCATTGCAGGGCTGAGACACACACTCAGAGCAATCCTGAACCGGGCCACACGCTTGGTGCTGGGTCCAGGCTGAGTCCCAAGGGCAAACATAATTATTTTCCAAATTGTAGGAAGGTCCAAAGTCTCGTTAGACAAACCAGGTCCCCAGAGGCTCTCAGGCAGGTTAGCCTCAAGGAGCCAGATGTGATGGAACCTCTGAAGGCATAGGGTGCATGAACAAGCCCTCGCCCTGTGCCCTCCCCAGCGGTATCTTGGTGCTCTCTCCTCCCTCGGGTCAGGGATCTGTGCTTGCTGGCTCCTCCCCTGCCTGGGCGGCTGCCCCTCACACTCCTGCCCCACCATCCATATGCGGGTGGCTGTCACACACTGCTTGCCCCTCCTGGCCCCCACAGGTACCTCACGTCTACGAGGGAACCGTTACTGCGAGGGTTAAATGACACAAGGATGTGAATGTGCTGACACAACTGCATTCCATCCCTTCTCGGAGGATGCCACCACCCCTCAGCAGCAGGGCTCAACATCCTAGCAACCCCTGACTCCTGTCCCTGCCCAGCACATCCCACCGGGCCTCGCCCTGTCTCTACCAGCCGCCCCATCACTCCATCCCACAGGGCAGACGCTGCTGATGTGCGTTACCCAGACAGTTCTGCCCACACCCCTTGACAACTCTGTTACTCCCCTGCGCTTACTGAAGACAGACCCACTGTTTTAGGTGTGTGTGCAAGGCCCTCTAGCCCAACCTACCTTCCCACTTCCATCTCCACCACCACCCTTTCCTCTGGTTTGATTAAATCACCTGCTGAGTGGTGCATAGTGAAATACAGGGTCTGTATCCAAACAAGGGGATGAAACAAAGCGTGATAGGTTCTTGTGCGCACCCTCGGAGCCTTTAATCCCTAGACATGCATTGTGGCTCTTCATGTTCTCCCAAGCGTATGTGGACTTCAAGTACTCTTCTTTTTCACGGAGTTCCAGAAACACAGAGGACAATCTGTACCATGCTGTTACTCGAGCAAGGCTGTGGAATGTGCCACGTAGAATGACTGCCCAGCCTCTGGCTGTGACCATCTCAAACACGGTTGTTCTCCGTCACCATGACTATGTGCAATCTCTGTGGGACTGTGAGCTCCCAAACTCAGCCGATAAGCCTGCCTCAGCACAAGGATGGATAACAAATGGCCGGCAGCAATGCCTTGGTAGGGCTGACAAATACTTGCTTCGACCTTGATTGCCATGGCTGCCTGCCTCCCAGTTTTCCTGTCTACCCCTCCCCGTCGACTTCGTTAAATTTCCTGTATGCTTCACCTAGCCAGGGCTGGTTTCTGAGGCGTGAAACCAAAGAACCTTCGCTGATACACCGTTCTTACAGTCCCTGAACAAAAAGCCCCCTAAATCTCCCCCAGGCAATGGGGCACCCTGAGCCGCCACGTCCCCCCCGGGGTCAGCACCTGTCCCATCCGGAGTAGACCTCACAAAGGTGGGCAGCATTTTCACTGAAGCAGTGGGGTGGGTGGTGGCTCCAAGCCCTTTCTCCATCTCCTTGCGGAACCGCTTAGAGATCTCCAGAAGGTTCTCATCAGAAAGACGCATATGGTAGAGATACTGGTCAACCTGCAAAGGGGTTGGGGGGAAAACAAGAGTTAGAGAGCAGCAGGGTTAAATCAGTGTGGTACGCATCTACATCAGGGAACATCCCTCGGCCCTTCAAAAGAATAAAACCTGTTATGTACAGAAGGTTATTATTATCAAGGACCATGTAACTGGAGTCTATTTGACAAGGTATCTTTAAAAAAGAACTAAACTGCGGGCGCCTGGGTGGCTCAGTTGGTTAAGCGACTGCTTTCAGCTCAGGTCATGATCCTGGAGTCCCGGGATCGAGTCCCACATCGGGCTCCCCGCTCAGCGGGGAGTCTGCTTCTCCCTCTGACCCTCCCCCCCTCATGTGCTTTCTCTCTCTCATTCTCTCTCTCTCAAATAAGTAAATAAAATTAAAAAAAAAAAAGAACTAAACTGCAAGATAAAATGAGAAAAATAGGTTTAACTTTATTTCTGAAGAGTGGTAAAGACAAGGGGAAAGGCACATTAGGGAAGAGGAAGAGTTCTTTCCAGAAAGGTTGAGTTTAAGGGTCTCTGACAACATTCTGGGAACTGGGGTTCATCACTGACCCTCCTTGTTCCCCACACACCTTGAGGCCAGTCATGGCAATCCTATTATCCCCCGCCCTGGGCCAAGCAGCCAGCACCTCTTGCCTCACTCACACAATCCCCAATTCTGCCTTTACCTCTTCCATCCATTTTCCATCCCCAGCCAGACTCTAACCATTCCCCTGCTTAAAGAAACCTTTCAGCGGCTTCCCATTAGAACCAAACCTGAAATCCTTCCAAGGCCCCACAAGATCTGGCCTCTCCCCACTGGACACCTCTGGACTCCCTCGTGCAAACCCTACCCTTGGTTCGGTCCTTCCCTGCCTTGGAACCCACACATGGGCCCTACAGCCTTTATGCCATCCGCCCATCTCTTCAGCCCTCCCCAGACCTCTCAGCCTTCTATTGAAACAGTCAGGCCTCCCGTTATTCCAAGAACTCAGACTTTTCCCTTCCCAATGCCACCCACAATATGTATCTCTTAGTGTCTAAATTATAATAAGCACCAAGGGCAAGAAGAACCGTGTGTATCTGTTCACCCCTGCATCCCTGGCACCTGCTGCCACAGAAGAGAGCCTCTACCTAAACCGCATGCAAGCGCGCCTCTCCTCAGAGGCAGAGCCAGCTCTCCCTAGTTAGTTCACTGACCTTGTTTCCAACATAAACTTACACAAACTTTCCCCCAGATTCACCACCAAAGAAGCACCAGGAGTCCGGAGTCCCTCTCACACAGTTTCCTTCTTGGAAGCTCCCGTCTGCCGTGGCTGTGGATATTCCCAGTTTTCTCCTCTCGGAAGAGGCCTGACAGAAGTCCCTCCCAGGAGGCACACGAGTTTCCACAACACCCCCATTCTCAGCAGCGCTGTCCAGGACAGGTGACACTGCCGGCCACGGAAGGGTAGGGGTAGAGACAGAGTCAGGAATGTCGGGCCAGGCCCCAGCTATCCCCTCAAGGGGTGAGGGTCACGGTCCTCGGAGCCACGGGACTTCAAGCAGTCCTGCTCTTCCCAGCTCTGCAACGGCCGGGTCCCCGGGGGCAAAGCCTGGCTGATGACCACTGCCCCTGCTATTCCTGTGGGAAACAAGGAAGTCCCTGCCTGCCCCCTGCCCTTGCTCAACTTTGACAAAGAAGCACGTGTTTTTTAATTAATATTAGAGTTTCCAGACAAATGTGCTCATTAGTAGTACAGCCTGTTATATTTTCTGTCCTTTTTTGACAGGGCTTCTTGAATTTTTTTTTTTTTTTTTTTTTTTTTTAACCAGAGGAAGGGCACAAGGTGCTTAATCCTTTAAGAAAAGAACAAACCCAGTTTGGTCAACAGAGACGGTCCCCTCACTCACATCTTCCTCTATTCCAGGCTGTATCCTAACTCCTTTTGGGATCTAGGGCACATCCTCCTCTTTAGGCCTCTTTCTGCCCCTGTAGAATAAGGAGATTGGCCCTCCTTGGCTCATTTCAAATATCCTGCTCAGGACTCACCTTTGATCATTCTTCTAGATTCCCTAAAGGTCATAGATCGGAGTCTGGAGTAAAATGCTGAAAACAGCTGCAAAGGAGGCGAAGGAGAGTCCCTGGTGAGTCAGCCCACCCAACTCCACAATTGCCATGTGGTTCAATCACAACACTGAGACGCGACCCTCGCACGCACAGCGTGGGAAAGAACAGGGTGGGCATGGAGAATGGTAAAGGCCTTGGGCCACTTCTGTCCCGCCCCGCCAACAGAGGGACCCGGTTTGTCATGCGGGGTTTCAAATTTGCAGAAATGACGATTTCCCAGAACTCGTCTGTGGCCAGCATTTACTAAAAATAAATCAGGAAGAACCCAATCCATTCTGTTTCCTGACCTCGGGCCGCGGGCAGCTCACCCGCCTTGAGCGCATCATCTGCCCCAGCCTCTCAGGGCTGTGTGGACACCAGCCCCCACCACGAGCTGGGTCTCCTAGAATACTGGAGAGCCAGAGTGCTCCTGAGGAGGCCTGGCCTCCCTCACAACGAGGTTTGTGGCTCCCCAGGGGGTAAAAGGGTATAGCTTCAGCCCAACAGCAGACAAGGTCCTCCCTATTGGTGGGAGGCCAATCTCTGGCGACCCTGAGCCCAGGGCAACTTTAATCACCCCAGAAGCCTCTAGGCTCCTGATCCAGTGATACCCGAGTTGGCCCAGGAACACTGCCTCATGGCTTATGATGCTAACATACAAAATCCAGGGCCCCCAGACCATAGACCAAGGCCGGGCCATGTTCAAGAACAGCCTGAGATGCCCTGGTGGGCAACAGTAAAACAGTAAACCCTTACGTGGCACGGACACTGTTCTCAAGGTCTTACATCCATTAATTCATTGAATCCTCACAACAATCCTATGAGGCAGGTAGTGTTCTCTCCATTCTACTGAGAGGGGGAAGGCGACATGCCCAGACAGAGATGCAAAGGACCAAGCTGGGACTGGACTGGATTGGGCAGCAGTCCTGGCTCGTCCACTCTGCTAGATAAATGCCCCTCTTCTGCTCGACAACAGGCCAAATGGCACTGCAGTGAATTCAGGCTGGCTATGCCCACTAAAAAGCCATCTTCTATTCCAGTCATCCCCCGATGTCGACACGAAGGGCCAAGAGCAGAGTGTGTGGCCCTTGGGGCTTGTCTGGCAGATCAGAGGGCGGCAGGGGCAGCAGACACGTCTCTGAACGTTGTCATGAGTCCGACACATGATCAAGTTGGAGCTCCCATATTACTAATTTCCCAAAGAGAGAAGACGAGTGCCAGAAGCCTCCTGGCCACCCACTCCCTGCCCCCACCCCGCCACCACCACCACCACCACCACGGATGGCTCTGGGTGTGGTTACAAAGGGGGCCAGGAGAACAGCGCCTGTACTGCGTTATTAACAGGATGCCTGGCCACTTCTTGGACTGTGAGGTCATGTACACCAAGGAGCAAAGGTGCATTGGCCACAATTCCAAGGCAGCCATTCCTAGTTCAACTCTGATGCTTAAGCTTCAACAGGCTGGTTAGAATTCCAGTCGATACTTCTCATCCTTAACCCGCAGAGACTCTAACAAGTACACAGCCTTATTTGAAGTCAAGTCACCTTTTACCCAATAGAGTACAATCATCTTTCAGTGTTCAGTGATAGATGAAAACAATCATGGTGATTGTTACAGTAGCTAAATATTTCTTACCTGCCAGACGCCATCCTATGACTTTACTGACTTCACCTCCATTGTCCTTTTGTAAAACTTCTAGATCCCTGCTTTATGAGCCACTCGATGGGGAGGGGCAGAGCTGGGATTCCAACTGGGAGCTTGGGACCACCAGCTTCCCTTCACCTGTCCCATGGGCCCTCCTGGTGTGGGTGGGCACTCTCTGCCCTATGGTTTCTTGGATGAATACTCAGGGCCTTGATTTCCTCTCTAACACATGAGACTACGAGAAAGGATATGGGACAGCTTTGAAAAATGTAACCAGAGCACCTTGGCCCAAATTTCCCTTCTTTCACAGTATGATGTGGCCACCCTGAGTTTATTAGGGAAGGACTGTTTAATCGCCTAATGTCACGGCTTCCTAAACACCACCGTGGGGCCCACACAGCCTTGGCTGGCACTGCTGTGTTGGGTGAAGGGTGGCCAAGGGAAGCAGAAGCCAGAAACAAGAAGCAGCCTCTGTACAAAGACGATTTTCCTAGACTGGGAAGGAAGTGAATGCACTTCACAGAATCCTGCCAACTTTCACCCACGGTGCAGCCAGAAGGAGGGAGCACCAGACCCAAAGTCAATGGGACAAAGTCATTTAAGAGATATCAAATGCAGGCAAGGCAGCACGACTGCAACTAATAAATACCCTTAAAAATGCCTTTGGAACATCACATTCAAAATCCCACTGCAGATAGCATTCAGGTATGTCCAGTTTGCCTCTCTCACCCCAACAGTCCATCAGCCCTAGGTTTGAATGCTTCTAACCATGACACGCTCAGTACTTTTTTTTTAAGATTTTATTTATTTATTTGAGAGAGAGAGAGTGAGAGAGAGCATGAGAGGGGAGAGGGTCAGAGGGAGAAGCAGACTCCCCACTGAGCGCGGAGCCCGCTGTGGGACTCCATCCTGGGACTCCAGGATCATGACCTGAGCTGAAGGCAGTCACTTAACCAACTGAGCCACCCAGGCGCCCACACTCAGTACTCTTAAGTTGGTTAGCTACTACCATTGTTCAGCTCTAGTTGTTAGAAAATTTGTCCTCAATCTGAAATAAATCTACTTTCTGGTAACTTCCATCTAGTCTCCATTCTGCCATTTGGGATAAGCGTTCCCAAACTTGGCTGCACATCAGCATGACTGACATGAGGAGTTTTTTAAAAAAAAATGAAGAATCCCAAAGAGCCATTCCAGACTGATCAACTTGATACCTTTAGCCCTGGGTGCTCAAACATCTTCCCCTCTCCTGGACCTGGTATCCCCCATGCCAATAAATGTGATAATG